CGAATTATTGCCTTCTTTATCAATATTCAAAGAAGGATATTTACCCTTTCTTATTTAATTTCTTGCTTACTGTCACAATAATATGCACAGTATGCAATATTCTCTTCTTTATCAACTTATTCACTTATTTTACTGAAATATACTAAAACAGAATTATTCCCATCTGTATCCAAGTATTCAAAGAGATAAATATACCCTTCCTTATAAAAATTTACATTTGCACTACAGCATATCATAAACAACTAGGTTTCTAACCGTGTGCAAAAAAAAATATCTTAAAGTTACAGTAGGTACGGCAAATTGGGGCAGAAAATCATCGCTAATGATACCAAATTTAGAGGAATATTCGAATGATTTTTAACCATACCCGATAGTTTCAAGTCCAATTCACCTCATGAATAAGAATTGAATATTAAAAATAAACTTTTGTTACTGAGCTACCAAAAGTTGAGGCATTTTCTCTCACTTAAAATTGATGGAAACTTAGTGGTGAGTCCAAAGCTGAGGCTGAAGCTTTGGAAACAACCTTTGCAGCTGTACATAACAATCCACTAAACGGATACGCGGACACTAAAGTGGTAAAAGTTATTATTCGTTCTATGAAAAATAAGAAGTCTTCTGAAAATCGACGCTATTAGAAACATTGTTCTAAAACGTCTTCCAAGGAAAGGATTTGTGTTTCTGACGAAGATCTTCAACGCCTGTCTTAAACTGATGTACTTTTCATCTAAATCAGGGTGTCGACTACACAGCAAAAAAATAATTTTGATATCACGTCAAAGTGGATGCACTACAATCATGTCGAAAATATGGTGTAATATTACTTGCTAAAAAGGACAAAATTATAATGAATCCAATGCATGAACTGACATTACGCTGCTTTTACTGCATTTGTTTATTTATGTGGTCATAAAAATTACATGAAATTTTCGACATGATTGTAGTGCATCCACTTTGATGTGATATCAAAATTATTTTTTTGCTGTGTACCTGAAAAACATGGAAATCCAGGAAATTCAATTTTGGACCTTGCAAATCGAGGAATATCAGGGAAATGTTTCTTTATCACAGAAGCTTATTAATAAGTATGACTGATTTTGCTAGTTTCACACATCTTAATTACTCTTTATGGTATCAAACTGGAGCTGCATGACCCATGTGAGTAAATTTTGCTTCTATCTTTCGACAATACTACAAAAGGACTAACCTTGTTGGCAGTTTGAACACAGGTTCTTGTGTATTGTTTCAAGATAGTTTGGGTAAAAATGCTGTGATGTGATAGCGTATTAACGAGGCAAAAGATACATCCGCGTAGTTATCCGATTGAATCAGTATTGAATTGAGAATCCCGTAAGCTCCGTAGACCAAGTTAAATCCGACAGTCACGAAAAGTTTAAAATGCACTTGACAAAATAGAATAAACGTATTAACGAGTCAAAGGATACGTCCGCGTAGTACTCCGATTGAATCAGTAGATCTGTTTAAGTATAAAATATCTAAACTAAGTGAGATCTGCAAACCGGGCGAGTTCCGAGCGCCGCGCTAAACATGCATGCATGCATGCATGATTGCCCGCCCACGGTTGCTGCTCTGTTATTACCAGATCAGCTGCAATTACACAGAGAACCAACAGATGATGTTTGGGACTAACATTCATCCTCAATGTGTAAGAACTGGAGATCTAATATTTAGCAATACCAGCGCCGGCCGTGTCCGAATGCAGGTCAACTAGGGAATGGGAAGGAATGTGTTGACGTGGTACTCGCTGTGAAGGAAACCGAGAGATCCTCTGCGCTTCCACGAGAAATCACTGGGATTTTGGATGTGGGGAAAGGTTGCACGCACACGCAGGGATCGTTTTTGGTAGAGCGATTATAATACACAAACACACACACACACGCGCGCGCACTCATCCAATTTCTATTTTTAGATCAGGACCCACACTGTGGTAAGTGATGCGATCGGTGTTAAAGAAGAATTTGTTTTCATTAAAATCTAGTGGGTATAGAATAAGGCAAAGTGAAAAATTGCAAGGAAGGGGACGGGCCTGGGATTGAACTCCCGACCTTCTGCTCAGTAAGCAGAAACGGTAACTACTGAGCTACCGAGCCTCGTCAGTTCCGAGCGCCGCGCTAAACAACAGAAAAAAAACAGCTAATTACTTAAAGTGTGCCACCAAAATAAATGTGATAACATATGTTGGCAAGTTGATTAAATTTGCATTCCTCCCTAAATATTCTACTAATGATACTATTGAGATTCTAAGATTTTGCGTCCTTACCGACTACATTCCAAAAACTACATAAGCCTAGAATGCGTTTGGCAAGCTCTATCGAGTTGCGCATTACGAAAGCTCCGTAGGTCACATTGGATCCCGACAGCCGCAAAAAGTTCAAAATGCACTTGATAAAATAGAATTTAAAAAATACTCAGTGAAATACTACCTACTAATGGAGCCACCTCAAAATTTAAATTGAACCGATATGTGAATCTCTGCAAGATTAACTTTCCTCCCAAAATTATTCATTTAAGATATAAAAGCCTTCTCTTGATCAGTTTCGAAGAGTATATTTCCCTTCCAAAACTTAAACAAACAAACTATGGAGGTTATTTCGAGAGTCGAAGTGACTTTTGTCACTAGTGAAGTGAGAAAAGTCACGTCGTTGTGACGTGACTCTCTGTGCAAGTCAAATGGAGAGTCACGTCATCACATATGAAGCGAAATTTCTAAACATGAAAATTTCAAAAAATCGTAACTCTTAAACGAAGGAAAATACATCGCTGATTTTTTTATATGTTGTGAAGAACAGGGGCCACATTGCGCATCTCGAAACGAAAAACTGTTTCGTACAAGCGTTCGTACAAAAAGTTCGTTAATATTTTGATAATCGAAATCGACCCAGTGGTTGATTTAAAAAAAAATGTCATTTTTGGAAAAAAAAAATAAATACGGTTGTAATATTTTTCGATAAGGAACAAAACTACCAAATGTTACGACCTTCTGAGAACCACTATATCGTTTTGCTATGGAATGGCTGTATACCGAAAACTCCACAATATTGTATAACTACGGAATATTGATTTTAAATTTGTATCGGAGGGTTGAAAATTAGTACATTTAAGCTATTCACACGGTTTGTTTCATTATTATCAACAAGAAAATATACAACAACACTATTGTTGTGTGTGTCGTGCATAAAATGTATGAGTATCTTAACGGTACTCCTAGAAACAACAAGAATAATTATGATTAATACATAAACTGAAACCAAGCATGTTTGATTTTGGATGATTAATGAATACATCAGAAGAACAAAAAACTATTGAGTGTTTGAACTGGCGTCCTTATACCGGCGTAAAAAAAATGCTATGTGCCACAACATAACTGGGCAATCAAAATCATCAACTCATCTGGACACAAATATCAACCTGTTAAACATTCGCTTTTTTTCTGGGAAATAGTACTTTTTGAATAATTTTAGGGGCAATTATTTTGTTCGGGGTATGGCATTCGGGGAAATGGGATATTCGGGGTAATGGCATTCGGAGATATGACATTCGGGGTAATGTAGCACAATCCCACCGGACCATTCCACAATTTTGATGGGTAAAAGTAATTAGAGATCATGCATTAAGAACGTCATGCAAAATTTAGGGAAAATCAACCCTTTCGGCACATTTTTCTTATGATTGTACTACATTTCTCCGAATGTCGTTTTCCCGAACACAATTTCCCCCGAGTGCCCATATCGCCGAATCCCATACAAACATATACCCCATTTCCCCGAAAGTAATTTCCTCGAATAAAATCCAAAAATTTAATAAAAAAAAAACCATGACTGTACTACATTTCTTTCTTAGGTCGGTTTCGCGAGCATTAAGAAGGCATCTTTAAATCAATGAGGCGAGAGTTTTAGTGAGGCGGCGGCAGTTCAGAAGCGGAAGTGAAAAATTGGTAATATATTTTTAGGAGATTTTCCCTTCTTTTATGCATGAGCAGTCCTTTCGAGAACTTTGGCAAAACTAAGATCGATGATTTGACTGATTGGTAATATATTTTTAGGAGATTTAAATTTATTTAGGAGATTTTGAGTGGTAGGCTGGTTCATCTCCAATTTGTACCTTCATTTATAAATGTTCTTTCAAAAACTTCCTCAAAACTTGTGAGATTAACACTTTGACAAAATGGTAATGTATTTTAAGGAAATTTTTCCTTCTTTTATAAACGAGCAGTTCTTCCGAGAACTTAGACAATATGTGAGGACGATGGATTAAAAATTGGTAACATAGTTTTACGAGATTTTTTCTTTTTTTATAAATTCAAATCGAGGAATTTGGCAAAACTTGTGAGATATATGGCTGACAGCATAGTGCTTGGACGAAAAGTTAAACCGACAAATAATGTATGCAGATTTCAACATTTTTATTAAATTATCGTTTGTTGAGGCGAAACGAGAAAAAATATTTGGTAGGCGTGTAACGCAATAATATAAGCCATCTTCTGTACCAATTTTTTTTCGAAAAGGACCACCTGTTGAAATTTGGTTGCAATAATTTCAACCTGATCCCATATTGTTGAAACTGAATAGGTTGTTAAGCTTTTTTAAGCATTCAAAATGTTTTTGTCATTATCTAGCTAATAAATTATCACACTAGCATTTTTTAGCATTTAGCATTTCCAACTTTTTTAATCCATTGTTTGAAATTTAAGCAGGGTTACAATCTGCTTACTATGTTTAAAATGTAGTAAGAAAATTGCCAACAATAAGGGTTGGAAATTTCTTAATTTTTTTTTTCAGGAAATATGGCACATTTGGGGAAATGGCATTCAGGGAAATGACATTCAGGGAAACGACATTCGGGAAAATGTAGCACAATCTTTTCCTATACCTAGTTCATTGCTTGTCACACATTTATAAAATCCTCCTCTCCCCTTAGAGCGTGACGTATTTAATGTAATATTTACTAAATGCTATGTACAGTATGAGCCATATACTTACTTGTAAGCCACCGCAATCTGATCGTCGTAGGGATTGAGTTTGACCAGGGTAGGAGTATGCTGCGTTCGGCAGGACCAGCTCTGCGTGTCCAGTCGTCCAAAAACGGCTCTCCTCTGTTGTTCGCGGCCCTCTTCCCTAACGATTCGATTCCGCAAACATCTTGACTGCCGGTCGAGAAATTCGGTCGAATTCTGATCTTTAGCGGTGAGTTTGCCTTCGTTCAGGAACTTTGATGGCCGCGCGAAGAAACTGACCGACCATTCAATGTAGTTTGTGGTGACGATCGGTGTTACATTTTGCTGTTGTTGCGGTTGAGACTGGGGTTGCACTGGAGGGGTTTGTGTTTGAGGTGGCATCTGATCGCTTGATTGCTGCTGGGATGTGTGGTTTGGTGTTGCCGTGGTCTGTAGCTGAAGTTGAGAGGTGGACAGTTCTGAACTGTCGTTGAGATGGATCCTTTTCTTGCTTGGAAGTGGTGTGTGGTGAGTGGACTGGTTTAAATGTCCGTGTAGAGGAGGAGATTCTCCACCCAAATAGTTTATTCTGGTGTTTGGAGACGGTGGTAGACTCATACTTCCAACGCACTTCTCCGATGTTGTAGCTTCTTTAGCAAGCTCGTAGCCTTGTTTTCCAACATATTCAACGACTGTTTGTGCCATTGCAGCCACTGCAGGGAAAGGGTCCTTCGCCAATGCGTTTAATCCACTCCAAAGCTTTTGATAAATAGATCCGACGCTAACGGCATTTTTGCCGGCATTGATTATATTACTAGAGCTGGAAACACGTTTTATGTTGATGTTCCTCCCTAAACTGTGGTAAGGATGATTGAATTGAGTTGAATCCTGGAGGAAAACGGCGACAAATTGACTCTCGAAAAATCGTACCATCCATTGGAGGGAGGCTATCAGCTCCATCCGAACAAGTGGACTCATATCGTTGCAAACCGTATTGAAGAGGTGCATCGCCGTTGATCGATCTATGTTATTCGCGTGATCCGATCTTTTCTGCACGGAGCTTATGAACGTTCCAAGAGCATAAACCGCCGCGGCCCGAACTTCCGGTATTGGATCGCTTAGCAGGGGATAAAGCTTTTCATTTGCATTGTCTCTGACACCGGACCATCTAGCTTGTTCGTAGTTCTGCCAGAGATGACCTAAGCAAATTGCTAACCATTGTCTCAGTACGAAATTTTCATCATTCAACTGGTCCAGACAAATCGACACCAGCTGGCCCTGCAAAGCATTCGCTTGGCCAATGGGAAAATTGTGAACTATACTTGCTAAGACAAAAGCTGCATATACTCGGTGATTACCTACAAGAACAGAAAAAAACCAGTTTTTGTAAGCTTGTTTAATGTTTAACCCCATTGATCAACCTACCTTTGAAGCCCGGACATGGGCTGGTGTCTTGTAGTGCAGCTAAGAAATATTTGTGACCCTGGTCTCGTATCAGATCGATTTGACAGGTACCGTCCACAGCTAGGATTTTGGCCCAAATAAACACCAAAAACGGACGCAGCTCTTTCGCTAAACTTTGCAATAGTTTCAATACGTATGGAAAGATTCCGACACTGAGGGCTAAGTTTACTTCTTCCGGACCCAAATCTAAGAAGTGTCCCAGCAATTCCAAGGCACGCAATCGATGAACTTGTGATAGGAGCACTTGTAGCACAATTGGTAGCTGTTCAGGTTGGTTTCGTTGCTGGGAACTGCCCTCAAGCCAGACCTGGAAAGCGGTCAGCTGTTCTTCGAAAAACGGCGAATGCTTGAAGCGTTTTCCTTTTTCCAGGATATCCGGCAGTTGGGATAGTGCTAAGTCTAGGGCCAGGTCCCATGCAGACCATATGGGATGACGATAGCTTTGAGGCAGCGGAGGACTAGAAATTGGCGTACAGTCATATGAGCGAAGAATTCTTTCTGCTAGTAGAAAATTCCTAAACAGACTTGCCACAAGCAAGTCTTGACGAAATAATTTCTGGAACAACTCTCGGGGTAACGTGTTCCATGCTATAGTATCCGTAATAGCCGTAAATATCCAATTCAGCTCACCGAGCATTGTTCTTCGATCGTTGAGTTGTCCCGGTATTCGATCAATTAAATCTTCTGTTACGTGTGGAACTAATTTTGACGTAGACTGCAAAACGAACCACTTGAGGGCTATTCGTATTGGAGTTGTTAAGCATGATGTAAAAAGATCCGCCGGGAGTTGTGGATTCATAGGTAAAATCTGATTTGCAGCGCAAGCTGCTAATTGGATACAGTTTTTGTAAGTAGTTGGACCCACTATCGTGGGCGAAGCAGAATTCTTACTGGCATCCGGATCGCATTGACCAGCAGTGCTCCCGCTGCCGCCACGCATTTGTTCCAGCTCTTTCTCGTGCTGCTCTGCAAAAGTATTGAAACTATTCACAATAATCCCGGCATTTGAGCAGTCGTAAACGTAGATCGACGGGGCTCCCATCCATGTCTGCAGGTCGTATATTGACAGCGGGATGTACTGGGTGTACGTTCGGTTAAAGACCCAAATTTCGCCATTCACCGTTGGCCGTGGAACTCCATGGCCATTATAGTGGAACAGTACCCGTTCCTCTTTTGAGTTTCTCCGCAGAGAAGTGCATAGCTTTTTTACGTCATCTACCGTCGGATCTAGTGAATGCTTGTAGCGTGCTCGCGGTTGCCACCGTTCATATTGTTTTTGTAAATTGTTGCCTGAAAATAAATTAACTGATTTATAATTTAATGTATGCATAAATAACATATAAAGAACAGAACAGAAGCAAACAATTAAATCTCAATAACTTTTTCAAAGGGGCGTATCAGCTTTTATAAACAATGCATTTGAACGTCGATTTGGCGTAACTGGTAGCTCGCACACGCTTACTCTAACACCACTAGCAGGTAGGGGAAAATTCGTGCTATCTGATGGTGGTATTTAATAAACAAAGCGACCTTAAGCAAACCCCACACGTATGAATATATCGACGCGAAGGAGAATTATTCAAGAGCAAATTTTCATTACGTCGAAAGTAACAAAGGTAAACAAAGTTGAGCTATCAGTGTCAATCAATGCTCCTTCTATTACATTATATCAAGAGCAAATTTTCATTACGTCGAATGTAACAAAGGTAAATAAAGTCGAGCTATCAGTGTCAATCGATTCTCCTGCTATTACACTATATACTGTCCGAATATAGGATCAAATCCCATTTTCAAATTTATTTACCAGTCAAATTGCTTTTTGACGTAATCACCTTCCGATCAAAATAGTTTTCGATGTTACTTAAGTCACCCGATTTCTATGGAGATGCCGTTTGACTTAAGTAACAGCGCTGAGAAACCCTTGAAAAGTGTACGTTCGTCGTTTCGCTTTCTCATTATTAAAGTGAATAAATCGAACTGTTTGTTGCTAAGATGATTTTGGTGGTCCTAAAATAATGAATGGGCTGCACATAAGGAGACGTAATTGATAATTCTCCCGAATATCCTGGTAAATACACTTTGACTTAAGTAACAATAGGGGCCACCAAACGACGTATAATAACTTTTGACTCAAAAACCAGTATTTTTTAGCATGAAAGCTAGCGATTTGCATTTGTATGATTAAAACCCTGCTTAATATGTTAAACATTGCTATCACTATGAGATTATATGTGTTCACTTGGAAATAGGAATAAATTTTCGGTCATCAAAACAAAACTTTATTTTTCTCGGATTGGTGCGAATGTTACTTACGACATAATGAAAATTTGCTCTTGATATACTGTCCGAATATAGGATCACGTCCCATTTTTAAATTTATTTACCAGTCAAATTGCTTTTTGACGTAATCACCTTCCGATCAAAATAGTTTTCGATGCTACTTAAGTCACCCGATTTCTATGGAGATGCCGTTTGCCTTAAGTAACAGCGCTGAGGAACCCGTGGAAAGCGTCCGTTCGTCGTTTCACTTTCTCATTATTAAAGTGAATAAATCGAACTGTTTGTTGCTAAGATGATTTCGGTGGTCCTAAAATGATGAATGGGCTGCACGTAAGGAGACGTAATTGACAATTCTCTCAAATATCCTGGTAAATACACTTTGACTTAAGTAACAATAGTGCCCACCAAACGACGTATAATAACTTTTGACTCAAAAACCAGTATTTTTAGCATGAAAGCTAGCGATTTGCATTTGTATGATTAAAACCCTGCTAAATATGTTAAAAATTGCTATCACTATGAGATTATATGTGTTTAATTGGAAATAGGAATAACTTTTCGGTCATCAAAACAAATCTTTATTTTTCTCGGATCGGTGTGAATGTTACTTACGACATAATGAAAATTTGCTCTTGTATTGACAATAATATTGATGATGTGAATACAGAATTATTGTCAATACCGATGCATTGATGTCAATATAGAATGTATTGACAATACGATTATAGAGATTGCTGACGTTTATCGTACGCACACTACGTCACGTATACGTATACGCAAAATGTTTTCATCGGGAAAAAAAAACTTCATAGCGAAAAATTTTCCCGATGAAAACAAATCACTGACACAATCATACTTTAGCAATCTCTATAGTCCTCTCCAGGCGGGTTCGTATTGGTGAGATTTGCGTGGGTTAGTGAGATGAAATTTTTTGTTAGCTGTGAGATTTTTTTTGTTTTCTGTAAGAACTGTCATTCTAAAGTAAAAATAAACAACAAAACGAAAACAAACCCTACGCTTGCACGGTAACAGTCAAATACCCTTTTATGAGTAAAAGTTAACCCATTTTTAATAAAAGTGGCTTTACTCATTAATGAGTAAATTATTTTAACAACAATGAGTTTCTGCTAACAGTAGCTAACAGTTAGTACTTAATTGGTATAATAAATTACTCATTAATTAGCAGTGCCAATTTTATTGACAATAGGTTCACTTTTACTCATAAATGCGAGTTTGAATCTTACCGTGCACATGACAGTATACGCTAGTGTGTGTAAAATTATATTATTAGTGTAGTGTTCGTGAGATCCTGCTTGGAGAACTCAATTGTCAATAAAAGCAAACGGGTAGGGTCCACTTTAAACGTCAACGGAGTGTTCGTCTTCAAGCACCGATCACCGAGGGGGAGGACGGCTTTCATTTGAGTACCTCTCAAATTCTCTTTTACTCAGAGTTGCTCACGGTTACTCTGGTTTGCTCTGGGTTCTGATCTAATTTGCGACGAAAACATAATTAGTAGGGCATATAGTTTTGTGTGGGGCCTCATAGCCTAATCAGTAAAGGCATGGTATTACCAAGCCGGAGGCGGCGGGTTCGATTCCCGGTCCGGTCGAGGGAATCTTTTCGGGTTGAAAATTTTCTTGACTTCCCATGAGTATTATTGTGCTTGCCACACAATATACAAATTCATGCATTGGTATTGGCATCAAAAGCTCTCAATTAATAACTGTGGAAGTGCATTTAGAACACAATAGCCTAATATGCACTAAGCAATACTCTTGAAATGCGAATAAGAAGAAGAAGAAGAAGAAGTTTTGAAATCTGACCATATAAATGTTAGTTCGGATGCAATGTTCATGGAATCCCTCCACTTCGCGTGTTCACTGGCACTTGCCATCCAGAAGTCATACAGATGGGAAAATTTAATGAGATGCTTGCATCTCTGCAGCAGAGATTAATATTTTGAACTTTGTCCATTAATTAGATCGCCAGATGTATTTCCGTGAAATTCAGTCAATGGTGTCCTTAAATAAGGAAATGATCTCGTTTTCTACCAGTTCACAGAGGTTTTGGCTATTTTCTCACAGTGGCGATTGCTTTCTGCAGGACACTTTTCGTTTTGCAATGGTAATGAAATTTTAATTAATACCAACAATCAATACGAAAGTAACGATTTTAAATTGGCTCACTACTTGACTAGCCTATTGGTCCCAAGCAAACGTACCCCATTCTAGTCGAAATTCTAGTACTACGCAATGTTTGTTTTGATTCGCTATGAAAGTTTGACAGATAAAATGAGACGTTATTGGTTTTTCCTATGTTTCGAGGGGTGAATCGATTAGATTGGGACCAAAGAGAGTTCCAGCTGAGCCAAAAAGTTGAGCACGTTATTTCGGGACCTTCTAGTCTTAGAGTTACCTCTATGGTAATCACAAACGAAGTGACAGACGACTAACTGGCGAAGAAATCCATTTAAATAATGTGGTTCACTGTAATAGAATTTTCTTGGAAGCTTGTGCCATCATCCACCAGATGGGTTAGTTTTTTTGTTTTGATTTGAACAAAGTTGATTTTGTGTACAATGATTCTTTGACAGTGTGCAAAGAGTGCGTATCATTTTGTCATTTTTTTATGCATTTCAGTTTTGAGTAGAGTGAAAGAGATAGAACCAAAACATTCTAGTACATTTGGTGAAAATGCTAGTTGAATCTAGTAGTAGTGTTGCCATGTGGTACAATCCAGTAGTAGTGGTGTTGCCATGTGGTACACTGAAAAATTGCAATAGCAGGTTAGTCACCAAAGTTTTTGAGCCGCTCCGTCTGTCACTTTGTTTGTGATGGTAAAGGCCGGCGCACAATAGTCCTCTCCAGGCGGGTTCGTATTGGTTCGATTTGCGTGTGTTAGTGAGATGAAATTTTTTGTTAGCTGTGAGAAATTTTTTGTTTGCTGTAAGAACTGTCATTCTAAAAAAAAATAAACAACAAAACGAAAACAAACCTTACGCTTGCACGGTAACAGTCAAATACCCTTTTATGAGTAAAAGTTAACCCATTTTTAATAAAAGTGGCTTTATTCATATATGACTAAATTATTTTAACAACAATGAGTTTCTGCTAACAGTAGCTAATAGTTACTACTTGATTGGCATAATAAATTACTCATTAATTAGTAGTGCCACTTTTATTGACAATGGGTTAACTTTTACTCATAAATGGGAGTTCGATTATTACCGTGTACATGGCAGTATATGCTAGTGTGAGTAAAATTATATTATTAGATTAGTGTTCGTGAGATCCTGCTTGGAGAACTCAATAGATACGTTTTCGGGTTTTTTGACAGTTAGCCCATGCATTATCTGTCAAAAAACCCGAAAACGTATCTATTGTGCGCCGGCCTTAATATACGGCGAATGAGAACGACTCAAATTTGAGTTTAGTTCACTCATAATCGCCAAAAGTGCAGGAACTCAGCGATGAGTAAAATTTGTCTCATGGTTTCCTGTGGAAAACCTAAAAAATCTGCCGGAAAATGAGGAAATTGACGAAAATTTTATTCAGTCTCGGAGTAGTACCAATAGACTGAGTGAATCCAATCTTTACTTTTCTCAAATTCGGGAATTTTTCCCTGGAAAATCCTGGAAAAACCTGGGAAAACATGAGGCAAATTAACTCATCGCTGAGTTCCTGCACTTTTGGCGATTATGAGTGAACTGAACTCAAATTTGAGTCGTTCTCATTCGCCGTGTACCATACCACGCAGTTGTGTACACGCTATTTCAAAACTACCCAAATTTGGGTAGGATCCACCCAGACCAGTCAAAACTGAACCTACCCAAAAATGGGTAAACTGTGTTGGGAGTGACAAGTTGACAAATGAACAACGTCGATCGGATTGATGTCAATGTTGTTCATTTGTCAACTTGTCACTCCCAACACAGTTTACCCATTTTTGGGTAGGTTCAGTTTTGACGGATTTGGGTGGATTCTACAAAAATTTGGGTAGTTTTGAAA